GATCAAGTGTTTAAAAAAAAAAAAAAAAAAAAAAAAAAACAAATATGAACATTATGTCACTTTTTATAAGCCATTAGTTGATTTCATTGTCTTAATGTGTTCAGTCTTGTCCCTTAAAGCAAGCACTGTTCTTACGCTACGAAACACAGACAACTCCTGTACTCACCATAGAGTGGATATCAAATGTGGAAATGAAATGCCCACGAAACCTTCTTTGCGGGATCACCACAACTCGAATGAACAGCTGCCGGGGTGCACAGTCAGCGTGTTTGCTGTACGATACGTTCGGCTCTGCTAAAGAATGTCGCGAAACGTTCTGAAGCCAGACATGCCGCCTAAACACGGGAGGCGACTGAGAGTATTTTCTCAGAATCGTCCGTATGTCCCTATTCCTTGTCTATAACTTTATTTTTTCTTAATTGTTATGTTTTAATATTCTTATTTTATTTAGATATTATTTTTTTTATTTTTATTATTATTATTTTTTTTTTTTTACTGTATAGGTTAGGCTTTTATAGTTTTAGTTTTAGTTTTATTTTTTCTTCTATTCTTTTTTTTTCTTTTTTCCATACAATTCGGAGTGCGATACAAGCGTGAAACAAATTTATTTTTTTTCTTTAGTTTAACATCCGAACAGAAATCGCACTTGTCGCAGCTCGCATTCCGTACACTGTATTCCGCCTCTCAAACTTGTGCTTTTATGAGGAATGTGATTTTTTTTCCGAATTTACCCGCAGGGTTTCTCAACAGTCGCCGATTCGTAGGCAAGCAATCACTCGCTCGTCATACAGATACAGTACGTGTTCATATTCGTATACATATGTATATACATACGCAGATACATATACATGTGCATACATGTACATATGCATATGCATATACACACATGCACACATATCTATAAATGTATATATGTATGTATCTATATATACATAATAATATATGTGTGTGTATATGTATATATATGTTCACACATACATATATGAATACGTATGTGTTTGCATATGTATATATATACATAAATACACATATATGTATACATATATATACATATATGTATGTATGTTTATATATGTGTAGGAAGCCTTTGAAACGCAATAGATTTGTCAAAAAAACAAACGCGTTTTTGTTTATCGGAATTTTTTGCCTTTGTTTTCTCTGTCTTTGCGTATATTGTTTGTTTGTTTGTTTTGTCTTATTTTGTGTTTTAGTTTTAGCCTGCCTGAGAGTCGTTCTTTTTGTTTCTTTTTGTATATACTTTTGTTTTTATTGCGTCTTTTTGCCCGGTTCTTATTGGTTATATTGAAAAAAAAAATCCTTTTTCTTATTACCCTATTTATCACAAGATAAATTGCCTGCTGACTCATCCTAGAGTGAAGGTACACCTTTTCAAATGTATTTATATACATCTGAATGTTTTGTTTTCTTGTATTTGTATTTTTTCTCTTAATCTATATTTCGACATCCCACTTCATATTTTTGTATTGTAATCTGATTTAGTTTTATATTATTTTACATGACTGATGACGTCATAGTGTATACATATGACCTAGTTTCCCTCTAAATACAGTCTATATCAGTCAGTGCATGTATTATTTCCTTTTTATACCCGAGGACAATAATTGCCAGAGTCATAATAACAAAGAAAGTTAAGTATTGAGTTCCTGATAATTTTATTTTACTAGGAGCTGGACGTTATCTCTATTCTATTAAGGAAGTCATCAACAAGTGACAAAAGCTTTGAAGCCCTGCCACCAACAGATGATGCTTTTTCAGCATCATCTCTATTTCTCTCCCTCTCTCTATTTATGTCAGGGGTTTTGTGTTGCCCTGATTTGGTGGGTTATGGAGACAATTCTGGTTCTGCTGTTTATTGATAGAATGGTCAATGGGTGTCTTGTACAACATTCCGAACCCAAAACTACCACCAATTTGATCCAAAACATGATGCCTTGATCACTGGACCAACTTATTGAATGACCCATGATTGCAATTTTCGTGGGTGTTTGGCCTTTAATATGTTCACCCTTGGTCCTGCTGACCTCTCCGGCTGACACAAACACAGGTTCACATAGATCTCTCTTTATTGCCATGGCGGTTCCGTATATATAGCGACGTCTTGCTGACATCACTGCCATCATTTTCACTAATTTTATAAATATACATAATTAGAATATGGAAAACTGACGGTACATAGTTGATAGTTTAAGACAAATAATAAAAAAACATTGAAAAATAAAGCCTCTTATAAGTACTAACGTCATCGACATATCTAAAAGCTAAAAAGGAGATTTCAATAATGTAAAACATGAATAAAATCATTTAAAGGATAAAATCATATCACTAAGATGCAAATACATGTAATAACAAGACAAGTTTATAAAATGAAAATGACAAACACCGTCATGCTCATTTAGAGAGAGAGAGAGAGAGAGAGAGAGAGAGAGAGAGAGAGAGAGAGAGAGAGAGAGAGAGAGAGAGAGAGTTATAATTTTCATGTGAAACTGCTGCTCTACAAGACTGTTTAAAAATCCTGGAAAAGGCAAGGAAGACTGCACTAAGTAGCTTATCAAAACTACACATATATTAATAATTAAAAAAATATTCATTTCCTACTTCTTAATGTTAATAATAATGTTAATAATGCTAAAGGTAATACCAGTAATTTAGTCCCTGTGGGTTTTTAGCAGAGCCAATGACCTTCGTTGTTCATGTTCATATAAGTATCTCATCTCATCAGGTCAGTCTTCTGCAACAGCATCCGCAACAGGCCTCAGCTTTGCCTGATGGAGAGGCTGGTGCTGGCTCTGAAACTTATTGATGTTGGACCTAAAGCCGATGGTTCAGGTGTAGAAATTAATGTTAATGCAACACCCTTTCTTCCAGATTTCTCTTGGTGCTCCAATTGCAAGATTTTCCCTTTTCTTACAGCCTAAAGAGATATTGCAATCGAGTTTTATCTGTGAAACCTTTTTAGTTTTGTTAACAGGGACTATCTTTAGGTTTTGGGACAGTCAATGACCATATGTATGGATGACAAAAAGTCAGAATCCATTTAGATTCTTTGAAAATCAACTGAGTAAATAAATGTGATGTGCCTGCATAATATTTCCCATGAATATTATACACTAATAAACTATACATAATCACTTAATAAGCTGTACTTCATATATAAATGTAGGTGACCACAATTCACGGATACCGCATAATCACACTGCCAACGTGAGGTTTCCACAAACATTGTGTGTGTTTGTGTTTAGGGCTTCAATTCTCCTTCATGATGCTGCAGCGCGTTTACTCTGTATCATAATAATCTGCTGCCTCTTACTCGCTTGTCTGGAGCTGGAATAAAAGGCCATTTTGTAAAACGTTACTAACTGGCACTGACATGGAGCATTTATTTGGCATACATGTAAATGCCCTCACATACAAGTATAATGAGTTGCAAATAATGATCTGTGTATCGCAGTGTCAAGAATTATGTGTTATAAAGAGCATTATAACTAGACAGGGGAGACTCAACTCTAAAGTGATATTTGATGTTATATAGTGAACAGAAAATGCTTACAGATAGTGACATAGCCATGGCCAGTTGCAGTTCTTCTTCCTCCTCCAACCAGAAGCATGTTTTCCTCTCTCCTTCAGCCTCCTCCTTCTCAAGGCGGAGCTTTTTCCCATCAAGACCTTCAAGTTCCTCATGGCAGTAAGCTTCCTCACATACATACACACACACGCACACACGCACAAACACACATATACATACACGCACAAATCATACATTAAAAAAAGAAGAAAATCACGTACCGCTTCGAGCAGGTCGAGCAGCGCGAAGTTAGGCTTCAGCGTCCGGAACTGGTCGCGGTCCTGCCGGCAAGAAGGGCACTGGAACACACTCTTGCGGTTCTCCGTCCCTTGAAGGAAAGATTTTCATTGCCTTTCCATTTACTCATTAAGCCTTCTCTAAATGTATCTATTCATTTCACTTATTTATCTACATTTTTCTAATTTATTATTTCTAAGACATTCTTATCTATTCTATCTACGTATGTATCTATTTATTCATCTACTTATTCATTTATTCATTCATTTAAACGTTATTTCACATACAAACACACATATATGTATATATTTTACCCTGTCACCCGTTGTATCTTCTCTTACAGCAACATATTAATTATTGCAGAAATAAAACAAACAAAAAAACGAGGCACCAAGACACTGAAAACAAAGACACAACGCAACGCCAAACAAAAAAATAATAAATAAATAAATAAATAAAAAATAAAACAAAGAAGCACAAACCAGGAAAGAAACCAGACATTAAGCCAAACACAGATTTCACAGAAAGACAAACAACAGAAACCTTACTAAGGCATTCCTCGCAGAAGGTGTGGCCGCAGCTGGAGAAGATAAGCGGACGACGATCGTGCGCGTTGTAGGTCGACCTGCAGACTGCACAGGTTAGCCCTGAGGGAGCCTGCAAAACACGGTGTCCTGTATATTAGCCCACAGTTTCTGCCTGGCCCCATTTCGCTCTGTTAATTAACTGTTTCTCGAGGGGAGAGGTGCCCAAGAACATGGCGTCACCAAGCAAACGTCGCAACTGAACCGGCTGGGACAATATGTATAATCTATAGCGCTGCCAGTCTCTAAACATGACGCGGTTCGCCTATTAACGCGGTAGACTGGCTGGGCGCCACAGGCAGGTCAATCTGTCAGGGGGAACTGCAGCCGAAAGGAGTCTCCGCAAGACGAGGCCTCTGGGGGTGATCTCGTGCGTTCCCAAAAGGTGGGAAGCTACGGACGTGCCCGACCTCGGCTCATCCTCAATACGACCGCGCCGTATTAAGGATGAGCCCAAAGGGGCGAGGCCCTTGAGGCGGAGTCGACGATCGTTGATGGCCTTGCCTCTGTCGGGTGGAGCTCGCATGCAGTTATCAGAGCGCCTTAAGTCGCCTCATATTTCGTCTGATTTTGTGCGTTTCAGGCGAGGGTCTTTTAATACATGCCGTGAACTTTATCCTTTCAGATCTCCATTAATGAAAAACATTCATCTTAGCTAAAGACTAGAGAGTGGTTGACAGCGGAAGCACACACGAGAAGGCTAATTCTCAGCCATTACTACATAATGGAGGGATTTAAAGTGATGTGACTTTAGTTGTCATGAGCTTGTGAAAAGCATTTCCCTATATGGCTCGATGCAGGACAAGATCGAAATGGTCTTTAAGGTCTTTTATAGGATTATTATGCAGTAATGAAGGCAAGCAGGTGGAAGGCGGTCGGATTTGTAGCAACAGTTTTGATGTTTCGCGGGACATTATCTTATCTACGCCATCGAATGAACTGGTAAAGGTTTGTAAAACTATAATTTCAGGCATTAATCAGTTCTAATGGCTTTCGGTTTTCTATCACAAACATTTTTTTATGTCAGATTTTTTTTTTTTTTTTTTATTAAATAGCTATTTGAAGTTAGAACTTTTTATAAGCTAAAAAGGAAAAGAAACACATGGGTATGTGCCGTCGAGGGCTCAGGACAGTTACTGTTGTCGAACTGGTCATTCTGTTCTGAAGCACTGAAAAACGTATTTTTGTTGTATTTCTTCCTATTATGAAAAAAAATAAGCAAAAGTTAAAACGATAGAATAAGTGAATTCTTCAAATTTTATTTTCGATCAGCTAATGCCCCCAAAAAGATTAAACGAGATATTTGCATATCGTTCACAGATTCTCCCATTCGCCATTTTTTATTTATTTCCAAAGAAAAAAAAATACGTACAACGATACTATTGCTACCTTTTAAACCTACAAAGATGCAAACCATATGGAAGTTGCTATAAATGTTTCTAAATGAACATTACCTGGTTTTCAGAGCTGTTCTCATTATGCTGATCTGATGAATAAACATTTCCCTAAAAAAAAAAGTTGCTATTAACATGCATGTATTGTACATGCAGTACATGTGCCTGTTTGATTCTTTAATTGTATTTGTTTTTTTATATACCGTATACCTATAAACCAACACAAAGAAAAGGACAAGAGGACAGAATTAGACGAATAAAACAAACACAAAACGCCGCCTTGCCTCGTGCACACGCGCGCCTGTCCTGGCGGAGGCCTCCTTGACCCAAGACGTCGCGAATGCTCTCTTGCAGGTCTCGCGAAGTCCCTGACGGCAGGCTATCTAGCGCTGTCAGCAGTCTCATCAGCAGCTTGAGGGTTTTGAAATCTTTCTTGGCTCTGCAAAACAACGAAGGTAGATTTAGCGACTGGATGAATTCGCAGCTATTATTTAAAGAAAAATTGAAAGGAAAATGGTCTGCAGCACAAGGTAGTGAAGGAGGAAGGGGAAGAGGAGGAGGAACGGAGGAGGAGGAGGAGGAAAAAGTGGAAGAGGAGGAGCTGGAAAATCAGAAAACGAAGAAAACAAAAAGAAGGAGGAGGCGAGAGAACAAAATACAAATATACGTAAAAAGAAAACAGGGAAAAGTATATTCCTTTTACCTATGTCCTGCGTAAACTTTCTTTTTGACAATAATTAATATAAATCATTATTGTCTCACCTCAACAAGGCATTGATGGTCTCTGAAGTCCGCTCTTGTTCCTTCCGAAGGGCGCACATGTCCTGTTAAGTGAAGTACATTCTGTTATATAAACTCAATCGCACAATTATTGACATGTATATTCATGTATATGTGTGTGTGTGTGTGTGATATGTATTACATGCCCTCTCTTTCTCTCTCCTCATCTCTCTCGTTCTCTTTCCCCCTCTCCATTCCCCTTTCTCTCTCTCTCTCTCTCTTTCACTCTCCCTCTTTTCTACTATCTCTCTCTTTCTCATTCTCTTTCTCATTCACTCATTCACTCACTCAATGACTCCCTCCCTTCCTCCCTCCTTTCTTCCCAGCTTCTCCCTCTCTCTTTCTTTCATCCTTCTCTTCTCACCCTAGCTCGTTATTCCTTCCCTTCTTCCCTTTATTCCTCCTACCCTTCCATTTAACCTCCCTTCCTCCCTCGCTCTATCTCTTTCTCTCCTTGCTCTCCCTTCCGCCTTTCCTTCCTCCGTCCCATCTCTCCTTCTTCCCTCCCTCCTTTACTCTCTACTACCCTTTCTCCCTCCCTCCTTTACTCCTTCCGTCCATCCATTCTCGTTCCCTTCCCTTCCTTCCTCTATTTCTTTCCTTCCTCTCCCCCTCCATTCCCTCCCCCTATCTTTCCTTACCCTTTCTTTCCTCGCTTTACCCCCTCCCTCATTCTTTTGCCTCTTCCTTTCCTTTCCCTCGCCTTTTTCCCTCCTCTCTCCCTCCCCCTACCCTTCCTTCCCTTCCCTCCCTCCATCCACCCTTCCCTCTCTCCATCCATCCATTTCTTTCCCTTTCCGTCCTTCCTCCATTTCTCTTCCTTCTCATACCTTTCCCTTCTTCCTCCATTTCTCTCCCTTCTCATACCTTTCCCTTCTTCCTCCTTCCCTCCCTTCCCCTCCTCCTCCAATCCCCTTTCCCCCTCCTTCCCTCTATCCAATCATCCATCCCTCTCTTTCCCTTCCCTTCTGCCCTCCCTCTCCCTTTCCATCTCTTTTCCTTTTTCTCCACTCTTCCCTCCCTGCATCTCCTCCCCGTCCCTTCCTCTCTCTCTTCTCTCCCCCTATTCGTGCTTTCTCTTCCTTCCTTACTCCATTTTCCTCATTCTCCTTCCCCCTCCCTCCACACATCGCCCCCTCTTCCTTTCCCTTTTCTACTCTCTGCCTCACCTCCCTATTCCTATTCATCTCTCTCTCTCTCTCTCTCTCTCTCTCTCTCTCTCTCTCTCTCTCTCTCTCTCTCTCTCTCTCTCTCTCTCTCTCTCTTCTCTCTCTTTCCCTCCCTCCCTCCTCTCTCCCCCTTCCCTTCCCTTCCTCCTTCTCCTTCATCTATTTTTCTCTTTCCACTAACCTGTGCAAGTTTCTCGTGTTCCTTTTCCATCTCCTTTCCGCCTTTCTCCTTAAATTTACTATTACTTTGTAGAGCGAAAGAAGCGTTTCAGAATTAGAGACAAGGAGGAAATAGGAAATAGATAATGATTACACACACACACACACACACACACACACACACACGCACATACACATACACAACACACACACACACACACACACACACACACACACACACACACACACACACACATATATATATATATATATATATATATATAGAGAGAGAGAGAGAGAGAGAGAGAGAGAGAGAGAGAGAGAGAGAGAGAGAGAGAGAGAGCGAGAGACTCGCTGTCCGATGTCTAATTAGCGTTCGAAACTTTCCTTCCAACAAGTTGTACAAGAGTTTCGACCGTTCGGAACCCTACTTTGTCGTCCTGGACCTCTTGTTCCTCTCGTCACAACAGCGTTTCTATATAAACATTAAAAGTTGCGGGTAACCAGAAATTAATGGTAATCGTTGTTATCAAAAGTTATTTTAGTGTTTTAGTGTTGGAGAGAGGCTCTGGGATCACAGTGACTATAAACCTATGCAGTGTAAAAATAAAGACTGGTACGATAATGCATTGTGGGTAATGACGGCCCCGGAGAGTTCCGGCCGCGGCCTCTTCGTCCTGCTCGTTCTGACAGGTTGTCCGGACGAGCAAGGCAAGGTGTTCTGAACGCAGCAGTGTAGCGGTGTAATATATGAAGTGGGAGGCGATGTCCCACTCCTCCACTATTATTACTTGTAGTTTGGTAGAGCGTGGTCGAGCGGTAAGGCAGTAGTAACTAAGGTGCTGACGTACTGGAGTACTCTGAAGATGTTGGTGCAGTTAAACTTGTCGCAGTTTTCTTGTCTTTATTCTGGGTAACTGGTACAGAGGGCAAGGCAGGTGCCCAGGGAGGAGCGCGTCCTGCCAAGCCCACGAGGGCGACCGGTCTAAGAGTATGGCACAGGAATTGCCATGGACGAAGTTCGTTTTTAAACAATATACAATGGAAAAACATGAAAGAATATGGATGAACATAAATTCAGAAACATTGGTTCACATGACCGTTTCGTGGAGAGGAACAAGGGTATATGGTTGACATGATATCGGTATGTTTTAACAACCTTACATCTGGTGGTTAGGGGACAGAATTACTGAGTGTTCATGAAACATGAAACACTTGAATATCAATAGTAAAATCAGTTACATACATAGTGATTTAGATCAAGCATTTTATAAGAAACATTTTCAGTATAAACAGGACATATTTATACTTGAAGACAACAGAATAAAAACATTGAAAATGTATGATAGTAATAAGGGTCAGATTAGCGTGTTCTACGGTTACTTTGTCAATGTCGGGCACAGGGCAGGTTGAAGTACTTGTGATATAAGAACACATGGCTTTCGTGGTCTTCGAGGGGTGAGCAGCGAGGGGAGCAGGTCACTAGAATCGGGCGGGTAATCCCACAGCACTAAAAGCAAATCTGATATCAGAACAAATATACATCGAGAAGTGCCGTCATTCCTCTGGTGCTGACTATTACGAATTATCAATAATAAATAGAGCGAACAGTAATTTGTGTACTGCAGGTCGTGTCCTCGGTAATTTTCACAGCAGTTTACGTTAAAAAATCCTTGGCAAGTTTGACCATGACGTTACTCCCTTTGAGAATAGTGACTCTGAGGTGTCGGGCGTACGATGCGTTAAAAAAT